CCATATTCTGAGCTGCTATGTCTCTCATGCCTGCAGCTATCTGGGCCATTCCTTCGGTGAGTGCGGCTGTTCTTTCACCTCGCCGACGCCGGTGATGCGGTCTCTGATGAGTAACATTGTTACGAAGTACTTCCTCCTCAGAGGCCTCTCTGATGGGGTTGTCTTCACGGCTGTAGCTCATCCTACCTCTTCTTCCAAGGATAGTAAGAACTTGGATTGTAACTTGACTCTTATTCTTTTTCAAGAATGCCGCCCTTTTCAGGGTCAATTGCCGGTTTTTCGGTGGCTTCCCCGACGGGGAATGTAGGACTTTGAATGGGGAATAACGCTTCCCACAGACGGCGCCAAACTGTTGACCCGTAAAAATGGCTCTTCCACGTGGCCAACTTGCAGCTACTCCACGTATTCCTCCCTACGAAATTAACAAACTGTCAGGCGCACACGGCCGGAACCAGCGGTGGTGACGACCGTATACACTCCGACGGTCAAGTCAGATTCGGGTGGTCGGAACAGTGTCCAGGAACTACACAAATCAATCTATCGATAAAAGGGGGAGGAGAATATATAAACTTGTTATGGAGTGCTATCTATTGAGAGTTTCATTACCTTTGGCTCTGGCCAATCTTTGGGTATTTATAGATGGTATGAGCCGTGGGATGTGGAACACGTGTATACATCTGACGGTATGAAGTGTCTGCTCATAGACGTCAATCAGCCGCGCTTGTATGGTGGGCGGACAGTTTGTTTCCCCCGAGTTGAATTGACATAAAGTTGATAAGTCACATCAAACAGCTTTATGGGGGACGTCACATCAATTTAAACCCTATATGCAGAGCAAATCTTAAATTGGCAGCGAATCTTCTAACGGGGGTTCGAGCCACTTGAACCCGTCCTCGAAGACGGGACGTCAGTGACAGGAATCGGTGTATCACTTCGGGGGGGGAGGCTTCGGGAGTTCGGAGTGGTCTAGTCGATTTTCGCCGACTTCGGAGTGGTACTTCGGTGCGTCTGTACCGAGGCTCGCAAAATGAGGCGTAACACTCCCCATTTTTGTGTTGTTCGGTCATCCCTTGGGTTAGGGCTTTTGGTGCTATAGCACATTCCAATTCTTTATATATATGCGGATGTAGCTGAGCACATTTCGTGGATCTTGGTCAAAATTTTCAATTAGCTTCGGTAGGAAGTGAGGCTTCGAAAGTTGGACTTATGGAATTCTGTGTGAGGTGTAAGTATATTTTCTCAACTAGGACATCAATCTAGTTTAGTCAGAATTTATACAACTCGGTATCACAATTCCTTTTCTACAGATTTATGGTTTCATAAGTGGCTTGTTCTGTAAATTTGAAGGTATCTGCAGATGCAGAATTATGATAAGAATTGTAAATAATAACAAAAGTAAATGACAGTACGGTGAACCACTTTCTCCATACATTTGGGTTTTGCCCATGAGATGCACCAAGTGTGATGCATAAGTCTATTCTTTTACTGCAAAACATTAGCCAATATTCCTAAATTCAGTTGGAGAGGCTCATATACATGTTAAATTAGATAGTAGACAGCAAAGTTAAAAAAATGCTGCCACCCCTTTTCATTTTCTATACTGTGCTACATACACATGGCATATAGGCATGCAAATGACAAAAATGCTGCAGCCCAGTGTAACTTGTCCGAAAAACCCAGCTCCATCTAAGAGATTGTTGGCGCGTGAGAGCGAGAGGAAAGGAAAAAGAGATTGCCATACGAAGTTTTCCTGCGTAGTATCTTGTGTTTTGCCGAGCTGCTGCAGTGTCTTCAAATCTCTGCTTTCCAAACTTGCCAGAACAACCTTCTTCGCTGTAAAAATAAAACCCACAAATTGGAAACGTTGAAGTACATTATCTATTAAAAGAAGCCCAGTTGGGACAAGAACAAGAAAAAGAGTTACTCGAATAGAGAAATAACTAGCATAAGGGGACTGGAAAGAGGAATAAAGAGAAACGTTAGCTAGGCAAAATTACTTACATGAAATCTGGACTCCCTCATATTCTCCAGCAACTCTCCAATCTCAAGCTGCTTCATCACTGTAGCATGTATTTCCTGCAACGAAATACAAGGGATCGATTATACACGCTCAAACTTTTAACAAGATGAAATAAATATATGGGATACTTACCCTCTTTGTTTTCTCAAGGTCAAGCTCTAAGGACTTGATCCTGTCCATAGATTGCTTAAGCATTAGATCCTTCTGTAATGGAATTTCAGCAGGCTTCTTGCTTAGTTCTTCCAACGAATTTTCCAATCTCTGGAGACGCTGCAGACATGGAAGGACCTGGTCTTCACAAACAGCTTCAGCATTAGCTGGTGGATGACTGTCTAGTTTTGGTTCACCTTCCAATGCGTTGGATGGATAAGCATTCGTCTGTCTTCTCCAGTATTCAAAAGGCACATTACGAATTGAGGCAAAATGTTTGATCGTGAAAGACATCAATGTTCTTGAGACTAATGATAAACTTATTTTCTCCTGGATAGTGTCAAACCAATTGGTAAACAGAGAACCTAAAAGATATACAAGGCATGAGTCCCAAGAATGAAGCAATATTCTATAGATTCTACTTTGAATGTTGAAGGAATCGGAACCATGCTAAAGCCTAGACTAATTGACACAAAGAAATGCCTTTTATGGCTTTCGAATGTGATGCCTCTAGGGTATGAGAGAATAGGTAAAGAGAGATAAACAAAATGACAATCTAATAATATGACCAACTCAGAAAGACTATGTTTTCGAGGTAGTTATAATGCACTCTCTCAAAGGGGATAAAATACTATAGCTGGAAATTTTTTGTAGAATGCCTCTATTTATACCAGAATTACATGTAAATTGTTGATTCTAATATGAATTACAGAAACCTGAGCTATGCCATTGCAAAGAAAATATCTGTAGGTTCATTCCACAAGATTCAATCTTGCAGTCATTTCTATCTCAAAATCATTCAATTAAATTTAATGCATTAGACATTTCCTTACTATTAAGAAAACATTGATAATGCCTGCTTTGATTGATGGGGGGGAAATGCATGACCATATTTTGATTGTAAAGAGAAACACATACCTTCTAAATTCCGTTTTTCATCACCATTCAAATTCCTTGAGTTGTCTGTAATAGAAGACTGACGCTGAAAATTTTCCATTCCTTGATCGTTATCACTACCTTTATCAACTGGAGTAAAATGATCATTGCAATTGTAGTAGATACTATTATCTGGTATTTGGGCCTGCATCAGTTGAATTTTCACAAATCATGACCCACAAAACATGAATGCACAGTGCTAGCACACTGTGAAGAACTATCCATGAACAGACCCATACAGGTGATCAAGCAAGAGTTTGCATCCTTGTTTCAGCAAATAGGGAGATGCAAGGCATATCATTGTAACATATCTAGAATAGTAGGATAAAAAATATCATTCTTAAGAACTGAGAAAAGCTAATCAAACTTACTTCGTCAAGAATAGGAGCCAATAGGGTAGACCTAGAGACATTTCTTCTACTCGGAGAGCAAGGATCGTCATCTGACCCTGACTCAACTGTCAATGCACCATTTGTTTTCCCCTGATGGTATGACACAAAAAAATGTTAAATTTACAGATGACGAAAATTCAATGTATGTCAAAGCCTAGAATTACTACCTTGAGTGGATGCAGCTGAATATAAGATTCAATTTTCTGATGGCTGTTGGCTGTTATGGTTATCTGTTTCACGAGAGTTGTTTCTGCATTATACACAATCTACAAATTGAGAGAAATTTTATATTTCAGTCACGATGGATAATTTAAGAGTTATGAAGAAATCAGAAACAGATGAGCCACTCTCAGAAACATGTATACCTTCATTATTTTAGGATCATTCCATGGACCCTGATTGGATGTTAGGCAACCTCCCTCAACAGAACAAGTGCAGGATCCACCTAAGAAGTCGGGCAATTGACTAAGGGTAGATAAACCGAGCATTAGATCTTGTTATGCTCGAAAATCACATTAAACAAAAAAAGAAGGGAAAAACAAACAACCTTGGATCAATGACTTCTAGTAGCTTCCTCGTAGACTTAGGGTCCAAAACCTGTGAAAACAGAAAGTGAATATGCAATCAATTAAATGCAGTTAATATGGCAACCAAAGAAAATCCTTTACCTGTATTTTTGCAGTGGTTTTTGCATCCAAAAACTTCTGTGCAGCAGGCCAAATCACCTTCTTGAAGCCAAGTCCAGCATTAACAATGAACATACTATGGAGTGTCTGCAAATAATTATTGGAAACAATTATGGGCAAATAGACCACTGTTGAAGGGTTCGTCAGGATTAAAAAAAGAATATTTTACATGAATAAGCTAACAGTACCTCGGGATAGTAACTATTGTCAATTTTCGTCATGGCTGCAAATAGACTAGCAGCAGGCTTTGTGAAATTTTTAACTCCCTGCATGTATAAATTATTCCGTTTATTACACAACAAAATAGAAATACCATTGTAATACAGGTTACCAAAAGGAAAAGAATACCTCCTAAGAACTAGAGAAACAATATATGTACTACTTCCACCTCAATCAACAGAATAGTATTCTTCTAATCCTATTAACAGGGATGGTGCTTAATCTGAATCTTTTGATGCATAAACATAAATAGTGAAAAGCTAATTTTTTGCTAAATCAAAGTCTAAGTCAACCCAGGAATATGTGTTGTACAACTTTCAAATTATATTAATATTTATAGTATTTTTTAAGAGTTGAATCAACTTACAAGGCCTTGCACGTCCAAGATTGTAGTTGTTGAACAGATCCGCCTCCTTGCAGCTAGAGAACAGGCTGGGAACTTCTCGTGAAGGGCCTTCTCAAACTCCTGAACATGATATTTTAAGTAGCGATCAATTGTGGTGATGCACATTAGTTTGCTTGGGTGAGCTTTTCCAAGCCTTTCAATATAAACAGGTCTGCCTTCCCTGTCAACCCCGTGATATCCTTGGGGGTAACATTGCAACACTTCTTCCAGTTCCTCAAATTCGAAGTCCTGAAGATTCAAAGTAGGAACAGATTTTAACAGCAATGTAAATACTTCCTACTCTAGCATTGGTGTGCGGGTGAACATATAACAAAATTACCTCCAGTGTGGTATCCACTCCAAACTCTCTCCTCCAGTTAAGCATCTCTTCCCACATTTGTATGGTTTTGTCAATGTCAAAGTCTCTTGCTTTCAAAAATCTACATAAAACACATCAAGGGCTCAAGACTTAACCATCCTTGTGCAACCAAATTAAATACAAGTAAAAACCTAATATCCAAATGCCACACCAACTCAAGAAAGATGTGCACAGGGTCATGCATCGATCACAATATGAAGCTAAGCTATCTTCTTATAATGCATTTTTTGGCTCAAAAGCTCCTATTACTTGCAAACCAAGCGAGCAAAGCACATTCCATAAGAACAAGTAACAGTTGCAGCTAAATCAATTGATTTGTTTGTTCACTTGAAAGTATGGAGATGTGAATATGAAACGACTAGCATTCTAGAAGGGATCCTCTCCACTTTCAACTACCTACTATTCATTGACCTGGGAATAATTTCAACAGAATTTAGTGATTGTTCCGGAGATATTGGAGCTTGTAGAGAAGCCAACGAAAATGAAAAAAAAAATAATAATAATAATAAATAAAAATGAAATCACCTCAACAAAATATGATAGTCATCCTGTTTAACTGGCAACAAATCTCTGTCGCCGAGTTTCTGACGCAAGTCATAGACAGCACTCTCCTCTTTTGCATCATGCACATCCTCAATAGAGACTGAAGGAACCCTGTAATCAATTTTTCTTTTCCCTCTTTTCATGAGAGAATGAGTGAACTTGTTTGAAGCATTTATTGCCTTTTTCCTTAAAGACCCAATTTTCGATCTCTGTCGTTCATCCTCAGGGTTCCCAAAATCTGATGTCTTCTCTTTTGTGCCATCATATGGCTCTAATCCTTCTAGCCCTACAATATCATATATGGTTGAATGTAAATTTATATTGCAAACAATTTATTTTTTCCTGATAATATTTGAAGTTGTCGACAATTAAAGTGAACAACAAAGAACAGAAGCAGATATCAAAGAATACAATAATACCTGACATTTAAGCCAGTTTCAGAAGAGAAATGGCTCGATCCTCAAAGTTCAATGAAAGCAAAGAGATTTCCAAGCAAAACCAGAACTTAAGTTGTGCTGCACCTGTAGTGAAAGTGGCAGTTCACGTAACAGCAATCCGGAAAGGGAAAGCACTTAGGAACTTCTAAATATTTCACTGTAAGAAAAGATATTATAATATCACTTCCCCGACTCCTTGTAAGAAGTTCTCAGTGAAGTATCAGTGCAATTATATCATCCAGTTCAATGATAAAATGTTAAAACTCACTGCAAAATATTTCAAATCTAACTCAAAGCCCATTCAATGTCAACCAGTCAACCGACGTTAAAAATTTTCCACATTGAAAGTTCATTTAATAAAATAGTGAAAATGAGAGATTATTTTATTTAAATCAGATCAAACGTCAAATTCATTCAACAGCGATGCTCATAAACTCAAAATATAACAATGCTAGTGAATTTGCTCTGATTTCACCTCGCACTCAATCCGAAAGCATCGAAAGATTCTTTCAAACAATAAAATTATGCAATCATCACATGCTGTTTATATGCATGTTGGAAAAAAGCGACAAGGAGCTTACATAAATTACAAACCATAGAATCAACAGGAACTGGATCGAAAACTGCAGAGGCCTACTGCATAGATTCTCTATTCTTCATTGGATTGAGAAAAATCAGAATATGCCAACAAAATCCTGGAAAATATAATCTGTTACAGAGAGAAATTGCAAAAGGTAAGATCCAAAAGGTGTATGTATAACTTTTCTCTTGCAACACAACCAGATTCTCAAAATCTGATTTGTAAAGTTCCTTTTCTCCTATTCTCTGGTATTTGCCACCGCTTGGCCACGTGTCTTTTTTAATTAATTTCATCTGCCTTTTGATCAATAAAATAAAAGAAAAGGAAAAGTATTTTATTGTACCGGTAAAACCGGACGTGAAGGTGCAGAGAATAACGAGAAGAGTGTGATTCTCATACTGCGGCGTGCTTGTATTTACTACTTTTGACCTGCCTAAAGTGGTTGTTCTGTTGACCTCTATTATCGGGCTTGTACCTTTCATACTTTGACTTAATTTTTTCACTGCTTAAGTAAATATACTTGTGCAAATCATTCCAACATAATTGATAATTATTATTTAAAAAAGGTTGAACCCCAACCTTGAGGGTTTTCACCACTGCGCTCCTAAAACTTTGTGAGGGAGGTAAATCACTGAATGTGACTCAACAGGCTAGGGAACAAGAGCTGTCTGTACATTGCGCCTACAAGGAGTCGAATTTCATGTTTCAGGATTTGAACCCCCACACTAAGACTATCAGCAAAGCGTGAGATAACTTCACTCCTACTCTTTACACCACTAGGCTATGCCCCAAGTGGCTTAATTGATAATTATTATTACAATTATAAAAGGTTGAATGCGACTTTATATGAATTTTGCCCAACCATTAGTCTCAATTATACAAATCAATATGACATTGGACCAAATAATTTCAAAGTTGTCATGTAAAATATGTCATTTTTCTCTATAACGCCATCATAAAATGAATGTTCTTATAATTCTTAAATTGTGAAGATACGTAATTGAATGCTTCGTTTTCTTTTCTCATTGAAGTTGAACCTAAACTTGTGATATTTTTCAAAAAAATTCGCAAAACCCTATGAGATGATGAATAGTTTTTTTTCACAATTCAGTGACTCGTTTATGATAACTTATTCATGGGACGTTGGAGTATAACAAAAAGGAACCTAATGAATTCGGGTGTTTGAAGTTACGAAGGTAACTAGGGGCCATATTCTGTTTTCGGGCTCAAGATATCTTTTATGAACTGAAATCAAAGAATTTTTGCATATGTTCCAACCAAATGAGAATGGACTATGATTATGAACTTAGAATTTAATGATTGGATTAACATTTCGTTACTCACTTTCATCTCCACCTATTCTCTGATGCTCCTTTTTATTTTTTTATTTTTTTTTTGGGTATAACTTTGAATTGTTGGAAAAGAGAAGTAAAAGTTTTCAAGAAATCCGATAAAGTTGTCAAAATCATATAGGTCAAATGGGTCTAAAAACTGTTACACCAAAAAATGACAAGGAAATTTAAAGAAAAGAAAAATGTCCCCACAAAAATCTTGAAGAGGCCTTGACAGATCTCGTGAATAAAATAGAATCGGACAAGGGACCCTCGTAAACTGTGAAGTACTATACACAAATAAAAGGTCAAAATATTCTGTCCGAAGAAGGGAAAATAAATATATATTACGCAAGAAAACATGTCTTATAAGAACTTTTGTGGCCTGTCTGTTGCTGCATACTTACCCCCTTACTATTAAAAGTAAACGAGTTCCAACAAACTCTTTAATTTAAATTTTTTAAAGTAGAGAGTAAAATTAGTTTTAATATTTAGAGAGCTACTACACTTACTGTTTATTTATATTTATAATAATTATATTTAATAAAATATAATTATGAATGCTTAGCTTTTTAGATCATTTAATCATATTTGAACATTTTAGTCATTAACATTTAAAATAGTATTAAAATAATAGATTATTATTGGAAAAGGTAAAATTTTAAAAAGTTTGTTAGAGTTTATAAAAATTTTACTCTTCGAATTACAAGATACCCTTGATGACGCACAAAAGCTTTTGATATGCTCTAACGGTGTCGCTTTTCTTTTCGTGAGGTATTTGATAGGTTGATTTCAATGGCTAATAAACTTTTCATGAGTTCGATTGGCAAGGAAAATGTTTCCTAGAAAAGAAATTATTTTTCTTAAAAAAGGTTAAACCCTAGTAAAACTAATGTAAGATCCAATACAATAACAATTACTACACATTTTACTCTTTTGCAACGCAATCGAGTTTACATACAAATTTAGCAAACCACGATTGGTAATTATTGTACAGTTGTTCATTCAAATGTCTTGTCGAATTCCGAACGTTGTCGTCTCACTCCCTCGAGCCACTCCCATGCCCTTTCTCTGTCTGCTCCAGATCGCCTACGTGTTCTAGCGTGTAGGACCAAGCTTGCCTATGTGCTTGTGAGTTCGACATCTTTGTCCATGTGGCCCCAACCGGAAATGAGGTCAACAATATTATTAAAAAAAATTAATTCTTTTTACTAATTTTAAACTATATTGCTTTTGAAAAAATAAAATTAAACTCTCAATTTTACCAGCACAATCTCAAATGTCCAACTAGTTTAATAATCAATTATCAACTTAACAAGACAATAAACAGCTCAAAATTCAAATAATTAAAGTAGAGGGTGAAAAACTAAACTCCGATCCCTTTTTGTCATTTCTCTTTTTCCCACCATTTTAATCCACGAAAAACAATCAAACAGAGAAGAAAAGAAACTCTACCGTTAGTTTTTGTTACTTGAAAGTATTGGATTGCTTTCCGAATACATTTATTGCTTATGGAATCCTATTGACAATTCTTGTTATTGTTGCATCCGTTGAAAAATGTTTTTCAAAATTAAAATTATTAAAACTTATTTGCAATCAATCATGTTACAAAAATGATTGAATGGGCTAGCGTTAATATCTATTGTACAAGATTTGGTTGAACATTTTGATTACAAAAGTTTAATTAGCGAGTTTGCTTCTAAAAATGCAAGAAGAAATATTTTTACATAATTTGTTGCATTTCAAGGTTTACATGTGGCTTTTGTCGTTTTTAATTTCAAAGTTTGCTTATATGAATTGCACGAAGAGGTCAGCAGCATGAATGGTTCTTTGTCGATAACATTTGAATTTTGATGAAGTTTGGGAGGAGCTTTTGAACTTTACTTGTATTTTTCTTATTGAAAATTTTTAATGTATTTTTTAACTACTCGAAAAGGGCACAATTTTAAAATGCCACACATGGCGCACAAAATTTCAAGGCCAGCCCTGGAATTGCCCCAAGCTCAAATCTGGATCCACCACTAATGTTAGTGAAATTATACTTAATTAGCCCCTGTTTGCTATTCAATTTTTGAAATTCATTTTTTCTCAAACTTATTTTTAATCTTACATTTTATGGGATACTATATTCATCAATTTTTTAATCATACATTTTACTAATTTTTATCAAAATTTATTAAAAATTGAAGTTACTTTTTAATGCTAAACGGACACGCCAGTTACTGAGTCGTTTTTACCTGAAAGAAGGAAACACAAGGCGAAGTACGAAAGAGACGAAGCGCCAAAATAATTGACACGCCATGTGCAACGGGAAGAAAAAATCTTCTCTTATTCAAAATGTACGACACAAGATTTGGAGCGAGCTTATGCATGAAAAAGGGCAGTCCGTAAAGTCATAACATTGAATTGTGTTCCGGTCAGGCTCTGTTTGGTGCAAATGGTTTAAGGTCAGGCTGGGATATGAGAAGGCGACATTGGAGCCGTCGGCAGAGATGTCATTTCAGACACGACAGAGACAGAGACAGGGACAGCGACACAGCAATAGCGTCTGTGTTCGTACACCTTGTCATTTTCAATGGCAGACCTGATGTCCACATCTTTAGGTAAATTTTGTATCTTCAGAAAATAGAATCCACTAGAGAAAGGTAAATGGTCCACGTCAAAGCTCCGATCTGGAGTCGATACTCAGTAAAAAAGTAAAATGAAAACAAACTTTTGATTTAAACGGGTTTTAACTTTTTAAGTAATCGAACCTATTCTAGATTCAATGTGCCGAGTTCGTCCAATCTTTATAGCACTAACAGCAATGGATTGATCATAACAGCCGCAAACCAACTTATGTCCATAAATTACAGATCTCTAAATCCCTATACCCTATAGTTTAGAGGGCATCCTATCAATCTTAAGAATTTCCACAAGGATTTTACTGCATGTACATCAAGTCATTTTACTGCATGTACATCAAGTCTTACATAATGTCATATGTTACTCTATCATTCGTCAATTTAAAATATAGTCAACTTTTTTATCCTAACATTTCCCTCGACTCATTTTATGTAATCCATGTACAATTTTTATGTATAAATAGCATAATCATTCTCATAAAAAGGAATTATACGTGTGGTTAAATGTTGCACAAAGCCTTACTTAATGACTTATTTAGGTAAATGATGTAATTAACGAGATCTTCACATGTTAAACTTTATTATTAAGTTATGTTTTTTTCGCAGTACGTAGAAATTTTAAGCCAAACTTGTTTTTTTGTGAGCATTTTGCGCCGATGTAGGACTATAACAAGTGTGACAACTAATTTACATTTTTTCTTTTTAAATTTGACTGCTATGTTTTTCTATAATTCTTATATCCATATTTTATGTTTGTCTAAATATTCATTGGAAGAGGAGCTAATAAATGAATGGAGAGGACCGGACATGTTTGCAGGGTCCTTACTTTCACTGACCGTTACATTAAATGATAATTTTACAGGGATCATAATCAAGTAATTAGTAGTTCATAATTACTGGAATGTTAACATAATTAGATTTTGATGCTTGTACACCGAGCTTGATGCGAGCCCCTTCTCTTGTGAGCGTTCTATATATCGAACTGACAAGCTCAATGTACGTGTACCAAAACCTAACATAATTACATTTGTCGTCTCACAAGAAAGTGTTGTGTTTCGGATCCGAATCGTGTTAGTCCTAAACATTCGACTTCATTTTGACCTGATACTTCCCTAGCGTAATGTCAGCCTAAGTTATTATTAGAGTTTAAAATACCAGTGGGTCTTGGAATAATGCCATTGTTGAGATATACATGAAAATCCGAAAGATCAAGACTCTTAATTTTTAAAGAACATCTTGATTATAAATATAAAAAACATATTTAAATTTAAAAAGTAAAACTCCAATAAACTTTCTATTTTTGCTCTTCATTTTA